TTTTCATATGCAATTATGAACATGATAGAGGCATTTCTTTCAAATTTGTACCCACTTGGCCATATAGCTTACCTTGCATTTTGCCCTTTGTTTAGCCCCTTTTAGCCTTATTGACCATTCTTTGGCTTCTAGTACATTATAAGCTTTAAGTGGAAAATCATGTTATACCTAACCTTAGAGAATAGGGAGTGTATTGGTTTCATTAATGTTAAGAAAAAAAAAGGGAAAGAAAGAAAAAAAGAAGAAGAAGAAAAATAATAATAATAATTTACAAAGAAAATGGGAATTTTTGATAAAGGGAAAAGAAAGTCCAAGGAGAGTAAATGTGTGTTATGGCTTGATTTGTCTAAGGACCAATGTTATTCCCATTCTCTTTGGTTGTATCTAGTCATATCCTCATATTTCCCTACCCTTACCTTAACCCTATTACAACCATTGAATAAAGCCCTCTTGATTTGTGTTTGCATATGATTGTAAGTAGTGGAGAAGTAGAAGATTAACAAGTTTATGATAATGCATTGTCTTTTGAGGTGACTTGAGTGAAACACTTTGAACCATACACTTGAGAGTTGGGTTATATACACCATCTTGTGAGATCTTTCATGCTTGATCTATACACTTTGAATGATATTGCTTGGCATGCATTTTTGAGAGGTTTGGAGTTGGATGTTTGATTGTTGTAGAACTATTGATGCTTTATTGGATCTTGTGTCCCTAAGTTCAGCACTTCTAAAGATTCATTGGAGAATTTATTTATTTTGATTACTTTATGATTTTTAGGTTACATGTTTTTATTTGCTTGATTGTGTCTTACATGAGGACATGCAAGAGCTAAGTGTGGGGGAATTTGATTTATTGGATTTTTATAACCTTATTTCCTCTCATTCCTGGCTCATTAATCCTCTTTTGTGCCTAATTGGTTTGAATTAGATCATTTTATGATGTTTGAATTTTATTTGGGCTTTATTTAATTTTTTCAGTATTTGGCAAATTATGATACTATTTTGGTTTCTAGACTATATCTTGAACTGTAGAACTCATTTCATTGTGATTCTTAATTTGTAGGAAAATTGAGAGAAAGGCACAAAATTCTTATGAGAGGTTAGAACCCAATTCTAATGATAAGAAGCTGAAATTGGGTCTGGAATAAGCCAGAGCGCTGCATTCGCGGTTTTTTATCTTGGTGTAGTATTTGGGCCATATCTCAGTCCACAGATGTCCGTTTAAACCCATTCTAATTACGTTTTGAAGCTAACATCCAGGGCTACAATTTCTCTTCATATAAAAAATTGAATTAGACAAATCTTCATGGCCAAAAATACCACACAATATCTTCACGGATTCAGCATGGATATTGAGCAGCAATTACAAGCATAACTTTCCCTCCAGAATTTGAATTTGAACAAATAAGGATTCCAAAGACAACTATTTAGTAGAGAATATTAATTAGGTTTTACGTTTTGACCCTTAGGAGCCTGTATTTAAATTAGGGCAGCAGGCTGTAAAAATGTTAGTTGGGGACGTTAGGTTAGATTAGGTTTTTGTTTTAGGGTTTTTGTTTTCTTCTTCTTTTTCTCTTCCGTTTTTACCTTTCATTTTCCTTTATTAATGGAGGCTTAGACTTTCATCTAGTCCAAGGATTGAAAAAGGACTGAGACACTCTTGAGGATCAGTTTCGCAATTTATTCAATAACAAATTCAGTTTCATCTCTTCCTTCATTCTCCTTTTGCTAATTATGATTTCGAATTGAAGTTCTTCATTTGGATTGATAATTGTGCAGTTGTTTGATTACATATTATTCGGTTGATGTATGTAATTAATTCTTGAAGAAGTGTGAATTAGATTTTCAGGTTTGAGATCTAAGATTAATGGCAATGGTGAATTAAATTAACACAAATTGATTAGGTTCTAGAGGTTTTTGAACTTTGAGTGAATTATGTATTAATTGAATGCATGAGAGTTCTCGTGTGAATGCTTAATTTGAATTGATGTTTTATTCAAATTTAATGTTAATCACTAATTTGTTGATTGATGCATCTTCTTGGAATCCGATAATAGAGTGGTCATAGTTCTTCTAAATTCTTGGATTAGAATCTTTAATTCTTGTTAACTTTTGATTCTAATTAATGTTATTATATATATCAAACCCCTTTTAATTTTATAATCGTATAACGTTATCATCATTGGAAGACGACTCGGATTGCACCTCTTACTACATAATTTTTATGCAATTCAATTTTTATTAAGTTGTCCGAGCGTGACACTCACGATCAATCCCTGTCCTCCTTTGCTGGCTGAGTTATGAGGAATCTTTTGGGGACTTCATCTTATCATAGATAGAAAAATTGATTTCGTTTGAATTGAATGTGATTCTAAGAAATTTATTTCCTTGATTGTTAACATTTAAAGTTGTAATCACTCCCATTTCTTTGTAATTAATGAGATTAGGACATTAATGAAATATAATTTTTTGTTAGACTTAACCATGTTCTTAGAGAAACTAATCAAAGCGTTGATTGACTTTCTAGGATAGGTCTAGAAGTTGAACTGCCTCACTGTTATTTTGATAAGGCTCCATCTTCCCTTGAACCATTGTTAAGGCTTGATGTCATTGATATTTTGTGGCCTAAGCAGTTAACCTAGAGTGGTTGTTTAATTTTAGGTTTTTAAACCCTATTTACTAGAAAAAAAAATTAAGAAAATTTGAAATTCAAACATAGTCAAACCAAATTTTACACCTATCATGTGTTAATAGTATGATGGCATATGTCATTATTAATACTTGAGTTGTAGCACATTTAGATAAGTGAAACTTATTTGAACACATTATAGATACATTACACCACATTTATATGTCATATGATTAAAAAGTATATATAAAAAATAAATTTACTTAATATTAAAATTCTTTTAACAATTGATTTATTATCACATATTCGATACTCACTTTTAAATTAATTTAAATATCTATTTTTATGTGTCTTAATAATTAAATAGCATATATTTAATAAATTTTTACTTAATATATTATATGAAATATATAATTAAATTTAAACAAATATAAATATAATTTTATATTTATTTAAAAGGAATTACTAAATTGTTAAAATCTAAAAGTAAGAGGTGAAAAACAAATTTTCTGCAACTTGCACAAAAAAATGCAGCATGCAATTTGCTCGAAAAATACAGTTTTGTTTTTGTTTAAGCAAATCCAAATTCACTTAAACGAAAATGAAACAATTCTTCTCCTCACTCTTTCATCCCCTCTTTGTTATATCTCCTCGTCCCCTTTCTCTCTCCCTCTCACCCATTTCTTTCTTCTAGCTCTCTATCCCTTTTCTCTCACCCTTTCCATATCTCCTCTCCCTCACTCTCACCCAACTCTCTTTTTCCTCTCTTCCTGTCCTCTCACCTAATCATCCACTCATTTCACCTCTTTCTTCCTCTCCTCTCCTTTTCACTTTCTTCTTTATTCTCTCTTCCTTCTGCTTTCTCCCTCCCCCTTCATGCTGTCTCTCGTCCTTTTCTCTCATTTAAACAAAAAAAATTATTTTTATTTAAGCAAATTTTGATAATTAATAGATTACAGACAATTGTTTGTACTAAAATTGTATAGGATTTAGATCTTAAAAGGTGAGAGTTTAATTAGAAATTATCAAAAATTAATGTAGAGATTTAAATATTTATTTCAATTTAGTCAATTTTTTAGCTTATTTATTTTAATATTTTTAAGAATAAATTATTAAAAAAACAATTTTTTTGTCTATGATTTTTGATCGTGTCAACGTAAATTTTGCAGCTGTGTGCAATCTTTTTTAAATTTCTTTAAAAGAATTTCATATACTAAAAGGGTAAAAAAATTATATCTTCTAAAAGAGTTTCATGTATTAGAATAACAAAAGAGATTTTGAAACAATGAAAATCACACAATTTTGCATTTAGAGTATGTCAAACTTGATTAAAAAAAAAGTGCAAGAAAAAGGAGAAAAATTAAATACTGAGGTGCACTGGCATTCGTAGTTGAGTGGAGAAGAGGGTGGCATGCATAGACAACACATATTTTTCTTAAAACTTACATTTATTATTATTTTTAAATCAAGTTTCTTATACTGAAAATATGAAATTCCTTTACTAATGGGAGCCGAACCCGTAATGAAAGCCTTTTGAATACAAGTACAATGAAGTCAATTGTTTTGCGAGTTTATTCTCGTACGAACAAAAGTCAATAATCAGTAAGATTTTGAATAAAATAAGCTTGGGGATAGTTTTTTTAGAAGAGATAAGGATTAAATTAGTTTAGCTATTCCTTATCTAAGGAATCAGTTTTGATTACTAGGGGATGACTTTGAAATAAGAGAAGGAAGCATTTTATTATCTGTGAATAAATAATTAATACACAAATTTTCTTCTTTATTTATTTCTAAATTCTGTCTCTAAACCCTAACATTTACCATTTTAACATGTTTCATAATCTTTAAGTTTTGTCTATTTGATATACAATTTTTTTTAAATTAAAAAAAATTACACTGCAAAACCAGTGATAAGATGACAAAAATGCTCCAACCAGAAAATTAGTTTTGAAATAATACTATTTTAATAATTTTTTTAAAATATTAAAAAATAAAAAAGTCAAAATTTCAAACACAATAATCTCTTCGTTCTCACAATTGCACATGTTTTCTTTTTTCCTTCCTCCGATCCCAATGGGTAATAAGAACACTTTCTCAAAATTCTTTTTTTAATAAAACTCAAATTAATTTAAAAGGTTAAAATTATAATGTGTCCAGTCACAAGTCAAAGTAAAAGCTACTCAATATATGTGTTGAAGTGTAGATAATGTTGTCGTGTTTGGCTTCGGAAGAAAAATCAACCTGATATTATCGTAATGATCGAAAGATTCCAAGAGTTTCACAAATATCTTGAGCTGATGGAACCCACCAAACCAAGGACTATTCCCAAACACAAAAAGGCAACCTTATCCCAAACCTCAAATATCTCACTCCACTGTTCCCAAACCTGTTCTATATAGTGGAATCACTCTTCCTCGTAAAACTAATTCAACCTCCAATTTCCCCAAACTAACACCCTTCAAAATGCAGACAGCATTAACCTTTGCAACCCCCAACGTTGTGCCTTTGACACCTTCAAAGAGTGTCTCCCATCTTGCCATCTTCCCTACCAAATTTACTGCCCCACGCTCTTCACCTCGTTACACTCCAATCAAAGTTGCAACCTTCAATAATGACACTTCAACAGAATCAACGGTGGATTACAGCTCTGCATACTCGTAATCCTTCTCCTTCAGTTCAAGTTTTTTCAATTCAGAATTGCCTCTGCAGTAAAACGTTTTTCCAAGATAATAAAACTAAACTGAGTTAGTTGAAACTGATAAAAGGGTTGGTTTGTGTTGTTCTCAGAGTGTTTCCAGCAGAAGCATGCGAAACTATTGGAGGGGACGCGTGTATGGCAGAGATGTATCCTGAAGTGAAGCTGCAGCCAGAATCTAAGAATGACACACCAAAAGTTGCTACAGAGAACGTTGATAGAGAGTATCTTGAGTACAATGATCCAAAGACGTAAGATCCCATAAACCAATTCAGTACTTCAGTACTTACCACTTACATTAGTTTTTTTTTTTTTTTTTAATAATTCTAAACTTTTATTTTATGGCTGTAAATTCTTTATTAAATAAAGAAATTGTTAAGTACTTCTTGCACTTTTAAAATCATGAATACTTGAATTTTTTTTATTTAATATGTACTTTGTAAAATAGTAAATAAACTATTTGAAAAATATATAGGAGAATAGATACAGTTTATCTAAAATGAAGAAATGTATAAATAAAGTAAAAAAATATTAATATAGCCAACATCATATCTTAACTGATTTCATTATTTACTTATTTTATTAACTTCACTGATAATATGAGTTCAGAATTGTGGGTAAGCATTATAATCTGATGCGGAATTGTTTTACAGGGTTTTTCGAGCAGAGGCTTGTGATGATCTTGGAGGAACTTTCTGTGAACATGAGTATCAGAAGAGTGTCTACTAGAGAAAAGAGAAAAGGGGAAACTCTATTATTTCCATGACCACTTCATTATCAATGTCAGCTACCAGTGATTGTAATATTGACTGTATATAGTCATAGAATACGCGGATTTCAGTTTGAACTTAGTTTTATTTTCGCTATAAATTTTACAGTAATATAATGCCTAATTTTGAAAACTTCAGCCCTGTCTTCTCGGTAATTTGAAAATGAAATAATATATTAAAAAGGAGTATGACACTTAATCACTCATATTGTGGCATCATTTTAGTTCTCTAAATAATTAATTAACAATTTTACAAAAGAAATATTAAATTGATTATAAAAAAATTTAATACCAAGTTACTCTTTATAATAATATCGATTCGATTTTCAATCCTGTAAATTTATATGCAAAGTCGTGATTTCGATACTTTTTTTTGTATTATTGTAGAAATAAACTCAAATGAAAATAATTGTTTGAAGGAGAAAAAGTATAAAACTTACCCTTTCATATGGATAAATGGATATGCATGACACTACCAGACACTCTCAAGCCTTATCCTTTCGCAAACTCGATCATAAATAGTAATCTTTCAACCTGAGTCACTCATTGTCTAATCGCTACATGTACATCTAAATTGTGCACCTTATTTGGCATATACAAACGGGATTTAATTTATGTGAAGTTATAAATGGATCACTCTTGAATTTTTAAAAGGGAAAGCTTATATTATAAAAGGGAGAGAGGAAATAAGAGGATGAAAATGAATCACAAAATCCATCGTAAACAATCAGATGTTCTCAATAAGATATTTAATAATTTAGTTATTCGAGTGAATTCGAGGAAATTATATTTATTTTAAGACAAAAGATATGGACAATATTATAATTGATAATGTTGATATTGATGAAGGTAGCTGAGGATAGTCAATGGTAGTTTTGATAACTAGTGGTACTAATATTTATAGTAAGGCAGTACAAATAATAATGGTAAAAACAATAGTAATGAATAATAATAATAGTGATGACATGGTAACACTATTGCCAATTGTAATTATATCATAATTTTATAGAATTAAATCTTTGAATAGTGATTTTCAATTCTAAAATAACTTCTAAATTTCAGAATTTCATAGTTATAACAAATAAATATTTGTTTTGACATTGATAATAAGATGAGTGTTTGTGATCTCAAAACATAGAATCCTTGAAATTTTAGTTTGATTTGAAAAATGAAAGATTTTGAGGTCTTAAAACTCCCATAAAAATTGACTTTATGATTAAAACACATTTTTTTATCATATTAAAAATATTTTAGAATTGATTTTAAAATAAAATATAATAATTTTTTTTATAAACGTTTCTATATTTGGAATTGGTTTCAAATTTTTGTTAAAAATTCCTAATAAATTAAAAAATAAAAAATTAATAATATATGTTAGTTAAGTGTTGAATTGACTAATACTACTCATTAAGTACTAAGTAGTAAAAGTAACACGAATAATTAACCCTAATGACCATTTACAAACATGCTTGAAAACATTTTGTTTACAAGTTCTTTCTATAAGATAATGGTGTATTGAGTAAGATAATTATGTGATAATCAACAAAATAGTATATTAAGATGTGGCAACACTGAATTAACAATTAAGATGATAATATACTGAGTATTTAGCATGTGACAATGTTGAGGTAAAATTTCAATAGGCACCTCAACACTTAATAAAGAAAAATCAACGATAATGATTAAGTTTTAATTGCTTAGTTTCTTAAGGACTAAACCTTGAAAAAAAAAAAGCCACAAATTCCAAACGTGGGACACTCTGGCGCCGAAAAAGGTTAAATATCTTTTCGTAAGTTACCACTTACTTGGACACCATTCTCTGTTTTCCTTTTCAATGAATCACATTAAAACATGTACGAGGAAAAACGCGATCCACAACCTCAACACTTTGGGTCCACCACCATCTCCAAAACGACACCTTCAACTCGACGCTTCGATCATCAAAACAGGCTTCGATCCCAACACATGCCATTTCAATTTCAAGGTGAAGACCCATCTCCAACGCGGAGAGTTGGGTGCAGCCCGCCAACTGTTCGACGAAATTCCCCACAAGAACACCATATCCACCAACATCATGATCATGGGTTACATAAACTCTGGCAATCTTTCTAATGCTAGGAGCTTGTTTGACACTATGATTCAACGCACAGTTGTTACTTGGACAATGATGATCGGTGGTTATGCTCAAAACTGTCGGTTCCGTGAAGCTTTTGGTCTCTTTGCCGATATGTATAGGCATGAGACTGTTCCGGATCATGTCACCTTGGCCACTCTCTTATCTGGGTTCACTGAGTTTGACTCTGTCAATGAAGTAGCTCAAGTTCATGCCCATGTTGTCAAACTGGGGCATGATTCCACCCTCATGGTTTGCAACTCGTTGCTTGATTCTTATTGTAAAACGCGTAATGTCAGTTTAGCTTGTCACCTCTTTGACCTTATGCCAGATAAAGATAATGTAACTTTTAATGCATTGTTGACGGGGTACTCCAAAGAGGGGTTTAATCATGATGCCATAAAGCTGTTTTTCAAAATGCAGGATTTGGGAATTAGGCCCACGGAATTTACTTTTGCTGCAGTTTTAACTGCAGGGATACAGTTGGATGATATTGAATTTGGGCAACAAGTTCACGGTTTTGTGGTGAAGAGTAACTTTGCGTGGAATGTGTTTGTGGCTAATGCTTTGCTCGATTTCTATTCGAAGCATGACCGTGTTGCTGAAGCAAGGAAATTTTTTTATGAGATGCCAGAGGTGGATGGTATCTCTTATAATGTACTCATCACGTGTCATGCGTGGAATGGGAAAGTCGATGAATCTCTTGTACTTTTCAGGGAGTTACAGTTTACTAGATTTGACAGGAGGCAATTCCCGTTTGCTACCTTGTTGAGCATTGCTGCTAATTCTTTAAACCTGGAAATGGGTAGGCAAATTCATTGCCAGACTATTGTAACAGCTGCCATTTCAGAAATTTTGGTTGAGAATTCTTTGGTTGACATGTATGCTAAATGTGACAAATTTGGGGAAGCAAATAGGATTTTTGCAAATCTTGCTCGTCAAAGTTCAGTTCCATGGACAGCCCTGATCTCAGCTTATGTTCAGAAGGGACTTCATGAAGATGGCCTAAAGCTATTCATTGAGATGCAAAGAGCCAAAATAACCGCGGACTCGTCCACTTACGCCAGCATTGGAAGAGCCTGTGCAAATTTAGCTTCACTGACATTGGGGAAACAGTTACACTCACATATAATCAGATCAGGATACATTTCAAATGTGTTTTCTGGGAGTGCACTGGTTGACATGTATGCAAAATGTGGATCCATAAAAGATGCACTTAAAATGTTTCAAGAGATGCCCGTGAGAAATTCTGTTTCCTGGAATGCACTGATTTCAGCTCATGGGCAAAATGGGGACGGTGACCTTACTCTTAGGTCATTTGAACAAATGGTTCATTCAGGTCTGCAACCAGATTCTGTTAGCTTCCTTAGCGTTTTATGTGCCTGCAGCCACTGCGGTCTAATTGAAGAAGGATTACAGTACTTCAATTCCATGACTCAAATGTATAAACTTGTCCCCAAAAGAGAGCATTATGTATCAATAGTTGATATGTTATGTCGCAGTGAAAGATTTGATGAGGCTGAAAATTTGATGGCTTGTATGCCTTTTGAACCCGATGAGATAATGTGGACATCAATTCTCAATTCATGTAGAATCCATAAAAACCAAGAGTTGGCAAAGAAAGCAGCAGACCAACTATTCAATATGAAGGCCCTCAGGGATGCTGCTCCATATGTTAGCATGTCCAATATCTATGCAGCAGCTGGTGAATGGGACAACGTATGCAAGGTGAAGAAGGCCATGAGAGACCGAGGAGTTAGAAAGGTCCCAGCATACAGTTGGGTTGAAATCAAACACAAGACTCATGTGTTCTCAGCCAATGACAAGTCTCACCCCCAAATGAGAGAGATAATGAGGAAGCTTGATGAGCTGGAAGAGCAAATGGAGAAACAAGGGTATAAACCTGACTCAAGTTGTGCCCTTCACAATGTGGATGAGGAAGTCAAGGTAGAATCCCTAAAATATCACAGTGAACGCATTGCTATTGCCTTTGCACTAATTAGCACCCCAAAAGGATCACCTATTTTGGTTATGAAAAATCTGCGAGCTTGTAATGATTGTCACACAGCCATTAAGGTAATCTCCAAGATTGTAAATCGGGAAATCACAGTTAGGGATTCAAATAGGTTCCATCATTTCAGAGATGGGTTTTGCTCCTGTAAGGACTACTGGTAGGTTGGCTTTGTTCTATAAAAAAAACCATCAATTTCTCTCAAGAGCAGAAAAACGGTACAAGGAGTTCGTTTCCATTGGCATGTCACACATTCATTTTATTTTTTTTTCATTTGTACAATTATTTATACCAATCTTCAACAGGCCAGGCAAAGATATATATTATTCTTCAGATGCAATAAATTCTCTCACAAAATGGTCACTGGGACAAATTTTATGATTCTCTTTTCTCACGTTCCTTTTCGCAAAAGTAGAAGACAATTTGGGAAGTTTTCCTGTAACCTGATTTGGAACCCATGAAAGTCGAAACTTTTGAAGTAAACTCCAGATTCATTCTTGAAAATTTCACAGAAATTCCAAAAACATTGCAATTGTGAGTCAAATACTAAACATGAATTTCAGAAAAGGACTACCATGGCTGAATTGTGTGTTTCTTAATGCATTTTCACATTCTGAATCACCACAATCTAATTTGTAAGGTCCAATTCGGAAATTGCGTGACTATCTATCAATTCTAACTTACTTATTAGAACCATAGAGCTTCAAATTAACAATTAAAAATCATCACAGAACTTGTGTTCCAACCATAAGTAAAAATCTAAATATTACAAAACTTTTCATTAAACACCCAAAATTTTCCATCAAAAAGAGCAATAATATATAAAAACTCAAATTAAAAAAAGAACATCCTATTTCTTAAGCAAATCATCAGGAACAACTCTAAGCTGCTTCCTCTGCTTAGACTTAGCGATCTTCTTCAAAGTATTAGGGTTTGTAATCTTCTGGAACTTGGTGCCAGACCTGATAATATTCTCCTGCTTCCTCTTCTCTCTCTCCTCTCTCTTCTTACGCTTCTCAACCTTGTTCAACCGAATCTCCTCCTTCAACTCCATCATCCTCTCCTTATACGCCTTCTTTATCATCTTCTGCCGCTCTCTCTCCTCAAACGTCGTTCCCTTCCGACTCACCTGAACCGCCGACGCTCTCCGCTGCCGAGCCTGCTTCCACTTCCGACCGGACACCCTTCCGGCAATCACGCCGTCGTAGCTCGGCCTCCCGAACGTCGGCTTGTCCGGGTTATCCGACGAAGGTAGCGCCGATCGCTTCGCCGGCGGAGGGAGAGCGTCGTCGGTGACCATGGAAGTGGCACCGTTGTCGTTGATGACGTCATCGGCTTCGTGGTGTGGTTGGGCTTGTTGCTCCCTCTTGCGCTTGTAGGTTTTGCCGCCGAAACCCTCGTCGAGGCACCGAAAGTCGATGGTGCACGCCATGGATGGTGTGGAAAGTGCGAATCCGAAACCCTAACAGAGTTTAGGGTTTATATAGTATGTGGATTCTCAAAGGCTATTTGTGCTTTGACGCATATGCCCTTCTCTTCTCAATTTTATGCCATATTGTCTTGAAAATTAAGGGACTCGCTTAGTCCTGATTAAAAATTTAATAAATAACATTTTTTATTAAAAATATGATAGAATGTATTAAAATATATGAAAATAGTATACTTTTAGACTTAATTGTATTTTGAGTGTGATTTTAGTTTTTTTAATTTCAATGGTTTAAATTTAGTTTCTTTAATTTATTAATTATTTAAATTAAAATTTTCGTATCAAAATATCATAAAAAATTAATAAGATATATAATAAATATATAATATTTTATTTATTTATAAAAAATTGTAAAATATATATAATAATTAAATAAAACGAAAAGAACCTTTATTATATTTTATATATAATTTAATATTTTTATTTAAATATTGTATATTTTTTCTAATTTAATATATATAAATTAATATGTTATGTTTTATTTTTTATTAATTATTATAAAATTTAATTTTAATAATTAAAATTTTTAAAAGCAAAATATAAATAATGAAAATTACACACAAGTTAAGACCTAAAAGGATAATTAAGTCGTGTTTTTATATCTTTTCATAAAATATTTGTATTAAATAATCTTTTGATTAGGTATTTTTTTAATCTTATAAAATTTTGTAAACTAATTTACTTATTGAAATTTTTTAATCAACGGTCAGATGAATAAAATTTATTGTATGAGGTTATTAAGAAGAACAAGTTAAACTAAACTTACTTTCAAAGTAATTAAATATTTTTTATACAATAATGTTATTCATATAAATATAACTTATAAATAGCTTCACAAATATATATATATATATATATGAAATTATTTTATTAATTTATTTTATATTTTATTTTCTTAGTTATATTTTATTATTATGACATTTCTTATAAATTAATATATAATTTATATTTATATAAAAAAATATTTGTAAATTTTATCATTTCATTTTTATATGCTTTCTTAATTATATTTTATATTAAAATATGATTATATTTTTAAATTATATAAAACTAATGCAATTATTATTTAATATTTAATTATGTTATTGATTTTTTCAATAACGTGATCCACTATCGTTGACTATCCATTTTAAACTCAATCGTAATTTTGGACTCTTTACATTATTAGCAGGTTTTAAAACAAAACAATTGAATATATGTTTGAATACAGTTAAAAATATTGTAAACATAGATCGAACTTATCAAACGTAAAATCAATGACGCACTAACTCCTTTGTCGGTGAAATACTCGGTTGTACAGATAATTGTACTCGTCAACACCCTATTTTTGCTAAAAGAGATGTAACTCGTTATTTTCTCGATAAACATCACCCATCCATTTTGATGAAATTGAATAAAATCTGCATCTTACAAAGTACACTGTTACTGCAGTGTTGCGTTTCACAGCGAATATGATCCGAAGAATAAATAGTATAAACCCAGTATAATAAATAGTAAATACTTTCAATTTCCTCTAGCTAGTTTCCAAAGTTCTGCCAAACATGCAACAAAATCTTTAGAATTACGAAGAACACAAAGGAGAATTGCTGAATTCAGCATAAGTAATCTATCAAGTATGTTAAGCAAGCAACAAAGAAACCACTGAACAACACTAACTCTAGTGGGTAAAATTCACAACCTCCTTAAGACAAGTACCATAGTATATAATTATGCTAAAACAATAACTCTGCACAAGTACATAGCAGAATACCAACAATGGCACCAGCACAATTTAACTTAGCTGAATCAGAAGCCTTCTTGCCATCAAATTCACCGGAACTCGGTGCCGGCGCAGATGCCTCGGCCTCAGAAGGAGCTGCTGAACTCATTGGTTGATTGCCACTTGTGGTGGGGAAAAATGAGGAAATATCTGGAGCAGTCACGTAAGGTAGAACACCAGGAGAAGCTGAAATTGTCGGCTTAGTAGTTGAACACACACCCTTTGAATTGGCAAGCAATATAACCAAAATGGCATAGCCAAATAGCTTGATGATACTAGCCATGAATAGAAGGATGCAAAATAGTTGTGGAAAATGGGAATGTGTGTGTTTTTGAGTAGGGGAAAGATAATATAAGAAGTAAAATAACTAACTATACTAACCAGTGTGCTTCTTGTGACAGTTTAATTTTTGGTGCATTTGGTGAGCATCACGGGGTAAGCAAGGGGTGTAGTATATTATCTCTTTGCATCCATATTTATTAAAACCTTTTGTTTCTCTCGATTTGTCGGTTGTTATCAGTACAAGATAGATTCCATTTTCCTAAGGGCAATAATAAGGAAAGTGAAATTGCAGAGGACAACGCACAGCTATGTATGTACTGCTTTTCACACTTCACATGCTGAAGGGTTTAAAGTTTTTTAATAGAAGGGGCCACATTTCTTTTGGCCTTGCACTGCTTCCTCCTACCCTACTCCATGTGAGCACTAGACATGGTACATGGTGAAGATATCAACTAATTTTACTGTTTTGAAACACTTCCATAGAGGTATATGGATATCCAAAAATGTTTTGAGATCTGTACACAGGAATGTTAAAAAGTAAAAAATAAAAATAATTGTATACAGCATCAAATTTTAGCTGTTCAAAAGTAAGAAACAAAATAAAATCACTCTTGTACAAAACAAAATGATTAACTAGGATATCAGCAACAAAAGGAATAGCAATGTGCATTTGTTAGATTCACATATAAACGACTTGAAGAGTAGAGCAGGAAATCTGAATGCTTGAAGCAATGATGACATAGTAATTGAAAAATCACCGATGCCATGTGAGAATCACATGACATAATGGATTGCAGTATGGTCCACACGGCGTGGTACAGGAATTGACAAACGACAATTTAAAGTTAAAGACAAGAAAGAGTATGGAGAGTAAACTCGGAGGTTTTCTGCTGATGAACTCACAGTTCCTATGGTCCCCCATTCGTATTGAATTTGAGTAGTCCAACATAGTGTGTTAGAACAGTCTAATTTTTGTTTGGGATCTTAGATTGAGAATATATAATTCTAATGTCAAAGTTCTTAATTCCAAAGCAAAGTACCTTTTGAAGTACATGAAATTCATGCAATATAGATGCATAGCAGAAATTTTCGTAAAGCTAATGATAAATTCTCAGGTCTGGTTCCTCCCTTTTAATTTAATCTCTCAAATTATTTTTCATTCCATTTTATCCTTTCTAGGTAATTTATTATTTTGTTTCGTTATTTATTTACATAATATTTAAGTTCACTCATGTTATTTATTGAAATATAATATAAATAAGACGTGTCATTAATAATATTTGTTTTATATTTTTAAATGAAATTTTAGCTTATAAAATTAAATTTTAAGAATATAAAAATATAAATGACATTATCGTTAACATCAAATATATATGATATTATGATATAAATTAGATGTTATATAAATACATAATACAAAAAAGTATTATATGAAAAAACTATTTTTTAAGAGACTTATTTAACAAAATAAAAAATATTAAAAGATGAAATAAACTAATTACAGTTTTTAATGGCATCAAAACCTTATTTAAGCTAATAAAAAGAAAATGATCCAACAATTCCAACTACTTCATTTCCCTTTCTGTAGTGATCAGAGGGTACAACATAAGGTGCCAATTCATGTGAATTGATGAATGGCCAACAGCTAAAATAGTTTTTCTAGATTCTAACAAATGCCAAAATTCGTTCTCTGTGAATAATGCTTCTCTAACTAGAGAAGCCTAAAGGTGTGCAGTGTCTTCCAGTGTTACTTAAGATATATTTTGTGTGTTTCTATAAATAATAAAACTGTAGATTAATAATTTTTTTTAACACCTGTGTTGTTTTATTCAACTAGGAATGTAATAGAGAAATTGATCAAATGTAATTTAGCGACTATTGTGAAGTACTTGTATTTAAATACATTTAAAAACAACAAAAACAAAGATAATGCTCTATTATTTTAGGAACAAGTTAAATAATATAAAAATTATTTACTAACAGTTAAATGACAAATTATAATATTAACTTATTCAAACTTAAAACAACTTTGTAAGTATTAACGAGATATTCTCAACACTCTTTATTGCCTTAGAGGCTGCAAATTCTTTGTTTCTTTCTCAAAAACTTGAACTTAATAAAAAAGACTTTGATAAACAAATTAGCAGCTTGATATTCAGTTTTGCAGTAAAATAATTTGACACTGAAATATTTTGTCTTTTCATTAAATATAAGATTATGAGATATAGATATTGTTGCTTGATTGTCAATAAAAATTGTAGTGCTTTGATCTTGCTTCATGCTCAAAACTACCTGAATAGTTTGATTAAGTTATAAACTCAGCTTTTGCTCTTGACAAGGCTACTACCTGTTGCTTATTGGTATATCTTAATAAAGCTCCTAAACTCATACTAAAGTAATATCTTGAAGTACTCTCTTATATCAAAGTTACATGCTCAATCACTATTAAAAAAATTGAATAATTTGAAAGTTTTTTATCTTGCAGTACTTGACTCCATAGTTGATGATTTCTTTGATATATCTTATAACTCTCTTTGCTACCTTCAAGTACAGTTCACTAGAATAATGCATAAATATTTATAATAAGCTCATACAAAATAAGAGGTCTAACTTTGTAGCTATAAGATACATTAGGCACCAAATCAAACTTTTAAAATGGAATCATCAACTTTATTAGTTCTATTCTCCTTAAATTTATCCTTCTGATTCATAGGAACGTAAATGTATTCATTGAGCTAAAATCTCATTCTTCTTTTGAATGACTTTCATGTCCAAAAAATAGGTCATAAGATTAAGATAAGTCATCCTGAAGAGGTCTTTCATTTCTTGTTTGAATTCCTTAATTAGTGTTAGGTTGTTTCTTGTTACAAAACTATCATCAAGATACAAAAAAATTATTAAACTATAAGCATCAACCTACTT